AACAAAAATTCTACCATAGCTTAAGGTAGAGCTTCACTACCACGTAATTGTTGAGGAAGAAGTTTGCAAAGCAGTTGAATAGTGTGATACTTAATAAATACATAAACAAAAAAACTTTGAGCACCCATTTACCATGAATATTTTAATCATTAGAAGAAGTTCTCAGAGTACCTCAACTAGGTTGTACATTGTTAGATTTGTTGTAAATGCTTATTTTTGAGCTAAAAAAACATCAGATATTCTTCTTCCACTTAGTCTGGATTAGTGGTTATCTAAAAATCATCGGTGAAAATTATATTTACGTTGTGGACAGTTGAAAGATGCCTCCTGTAGTCTCCATGCCTGGTCTGGTGCTGTGCACACTGTAGGTGTTCAGTGGATGGCTGCGGAATGCATCTGTTTACTGGAAACCAAGGTCTTCTTATTTGTTTCAACTCTCTTCTCTGCACTCTTCCACCTTCCTTCCTCTGTCGTTCCTATAGGTGGTTATTGACATTAAATAAGGGTCACCTGGCTCTAAGGACCACCTTGCTATCTGGATGCCCTGAGTATGAACTTACATTCTGTGAGGTCAGATTTGAACTCTGAGCTACTGGGCCCACATATTCTGCTTGGCATGTGACCCTCCTTGAGTTCCTCTCCACCCTCTTATACCATAGAAAAGGCCCTTCTGTGGGGTCTGAGAAGCTTTGGGGATGAGGCAGGGCTTGAAGAATTGGCTGTGAAGGCTGGGCAGGATTCTAATGGACAGAAAGCATAGCAGGGAATGACACCCAGGACAAGGTGAATGTGCAGGGTTGCATGCCAGGATCCAAGGACAGAGGTGTTTGTGGAGGCCAGGAAAGGGGAGAAAAAAGTTTGCTAGCAGCAGGGTTCTGATTCTTTGGGGACAAGTATCACTAGTGAACAGACTAGTTCACCAGGCTCTTAAAGCTCAATCAGGTGAACACGGGGGCAACTAACTTATTACAATTTGCCAGAACTTTCTCAGTCATAGCATTGAAAGTCCCACATCCTGAAAATGCTCAGTCCTGCACAAACCAGGACGTTTAGTCACCAGGACCCATAGTGACCCCATTCCCCTGCTTCCTCATGGCACCTAGCTGCAAGAAGACACAATAGAGCAGGAATTCTCAACTTAGGTTGTATACTGGAATCGCCTGGGGAGCTTTCAAAGTACAGATACCTCAGTCCCGGTCTCAAGAGGTTCTATGTATTTGCTGTGGGGTATGGCCTGGATATTGAGATTTTGTAAGTCCTCAGGTAATGTGCAACCAAGGTTGGGAATCTATACAATAGAGGATATCAACATTTCATAGGTGCTGAGAGGACAGAGACTACATAAGATCTGCTGGCTTGGTCGTTGAGAGCTACTAAGAGGGCAGGACTTGGAGTGTAGAGAGCATCAGGGGCCTATGTGAAATGAGAGGGTGTCCTGGCTAGAAGGAAAGAGCAGTGGGAGGGGGCTATTGCATGGGGGTGAAGCCAGGTATTGGGTGGATTCCCCAATGGCAGTAAGCTGAGATTCACAGGGGCAGGGGTCTGCTCGTTTCCCAATTCTGTTACACAGTATAACTACAGTTTGGGCAACTTGGGGCTCAAGAATCAAGGATCAAGGGCAACTTTGGTGCTCTGAACCAAGGAAGCACAGAGCCTGAGGGAAGTCAGAACTCTAGAGACTCCAGCCCCAGCTCCCTTTTCCAGAAGGCAATCCCCTCTTCCCTTGCCTGTCCCTCTATCCTAGACCTGGGAAAATATGAAAATGCTTCCAGAGGAGGCTATAACCTAAACTTGTGCACACAATCTAAAATTTCCACTCCCAGGAGGGGCTGGCCTGGCAGTCCTTAGCCATGCCTTATACATAGCCTTGCACGCCCCTGGGAGAAAGGCATTTCTATGCACTGGCTAAAGAGGTAGAAGTCTTTGGGCAAAGGGGAGATAGGAAGAGGGAGATGAATTTTAGCACTGGTGCTCAAATGTGACAGCTTTAATCCCATCAAAGGACCCTCATGGCCCTCAGGATGAAATCTGATAAGACCCTTCACATCTCAGCTCTGACCACTGACCACTGACTTCCAGCTTTCTTGTGGCCACTCCTCCCAGTCATTTTGAAATTGCTTGGGTCCATGAACACAGTATTTTTCGACTATAGGTTAAAAGCCAATAGTGGGTCATAAAATTAATTTATTGTAACGAATTGCAACCAGCACTAAGTGTAAAAGAAAAAAGCAGGCAGGACTAGAATGGAATAGAAAACATCCATGTGCATTGCATATAACAAAGGTAAGTAAGACTTGTTCTGTGTGTGGGTGCACACACATGTGATGTACAGTATTTCTTGCCCGTAGAACAGGTGAAAACCTGAACAATGCAGTCCTCTTTTGGGGATAAGATTCCATCTAAATGATGCCTCCTTGGCAGGTCTTCCCTTGGACTGAAGTGTTCTTGCTCTGCAATTCCCATAGCATGCTATACTTCCTTCATGCACTGATCACACTTTTCAAAAAATGATTGTCACTTGCCTCTCTTCTGTGCTAGATGGCAAGCTCTAGGAGGGCAGGGACTGTATGCACCAAACACTATCTGTCATTAGAGAAAGCACTCATATTGAGTGGCTGAATGATAAACCTGAATTTAGGTTCCGGCTTTGTGTGTGTTTTTCTTCTTTTTTTTTTTTTCTCTTTTTTTTTTAGGCAAGGCAACCCTTGGTTGACCTCACATTGCAAGGACCTTGTAAAGTTACAATCCCTTATTTTTTATTTTTTACGCCTACAGCACCTAGTCTTCCTAGGTGGTCTCCCATCCAAGTACTAAGCAGGCCCGACCTTGCTTAGCTTCTGAGATCAGATGGGATTGGGCTTGTTCAGGGTAGCATGGCTGTAGACTGTGTGTGTGTGTGTTCTTATATAGTTCTCTTTTTCCAGCTTTTTATCTGAAAGATTTCAATATACAGAAAAGGTGAAAGAATAGTAGGATAACACCTTATATAGCCTCCACTTAGATGAACAATTTTTAACATTTTTCCATATTTGCTTTTTATCTATATACTTTTTTTCTGAATCATTTGAAAGTAAATTTGGATATAATCTTTACCCTGAGATACTAAGGTATGCTTCTCTTAAGGGTAAGGTTATTCTATATAATCACAATACTATTAACATACCTAAGAAAAAGAATGTAATTCCATAACTAATCTAAAATATAGTCCATACTTAGATTTTTCCCAATTGCCCCAAGAAAGCTATTTTATTTCAAATCAGAATAAAATCTAAGGTCACATACTGCATTTGGCTTTATGTCTTTCTTTTCATCTATAACAGTTCCTCCACCTTTTGTTTTTTTAATGATACTTTTGGAGGAGTCAAAAACAGTCAAAAAAGTTACCCTTTAGAATTTTCCACAAAACTGCTTTCTGTTTTCTTGTGGTGGTGTTTAACCACCTTCTCAACTTTTGTATTTCCTCTAATCTGAAATGAGGTTTAGAGGATTGATTAAACATTTTTGGCAAGAATATCTCACAGGTGAGTCTCCATGTTGTATAACCTCCAGAGCCACGTGGTGTCAGATTATTCCACCCAAAGTAGTGCTTTGTTCACTATTTAAGATCTCTCCTATGTAAAGATATGTCTTCCTTTCGCAATTAGTAAATTTGCAAGGATGATCAGCACCATGCAAAGAATCTATTCCTCTATAGCCTAATATTTTTAGTGATCATCATCTTTTAGCAACCATCCATGATTGTTTGGGCAAATTCTTAACCTGAGACTCAATTTCTTAATCTGCAATGTGGGGATAATAATGCCTGTCATTTTTGGATTTGCTATGTAATGATATTTAAAAGTAATGGATAAGAGTGTATATGAAAATGCTATCATGGTCTGCCATCATTTCTCTCTCCTTCTGAGAACACTATCCCTCTTCCTTTAAGAAAGTTCTCTCTACCTTGCTCCAAATAAGTGGTTCAAATTGCTGGAGATTTAGATGACCCTATCTGCCTGGCCACTGAGGCACAGCCGACTAAACTTTGGCCAGAGTGGAATGAGCATGTGCATTCCACTCTGAGCCAATCTGAATGCTTCCTTGGTAAATTTTGAACCAAGTAGGGTGGGAACAGGGAGAGGAAAAGCTTCTTTTTCTCTAGGGTTGCTGAATGTGAGGATGTGAGTCTGGAGGGTGACTATTTCCTTTGCTACCTGGAGAATGAAAGCCTATTAGGTGGAGGTGATCAAAGCTATCTTTCTGAGATCAGGGCAGAGAAGAGTTGTCTAGGGGGTCTTCCTGACCTGGCTCCAGTCTTCGCTAGCTGTACTTTTGCCCTCCACCAGCTAAACCAATAAAGGCGCTCTCTTGCCTGAAGGCTTACAAATTGGGTTCTGAATCTTATGACAGAATATGAATAGCACAAGGCCTGTCATGTGCCTTTCACATGATAAATGACTCAATAAATTAGAGGTCCATACACTCTCATCCCTTCCTATTGCCTTTGAATACGAATTTTAAACGTATTTTCCTGGTGAGTGCAGACTCAGAGCAAGAAAGGCTGATTTAACTGGCTCCAAGTGTGGCTGCTATTGCCACTAGAACAAGCTCCCCGCCCGGATCACCTGGGCTGGAAGCTATCCCTGCCTCCATTGAGTGCCCTCTCTTGTAAAAGTTTAAAACCTGCCCCGGTGCTATGAGGCGCAGATAGCCTTATTCCGGGAGGGCAGAGAAGGGCAATGAACGTGAGGGGCAGGGAGGCCCGAAGGAGATCAGAGCGCATGCGCGAGACAAGAGCGCGGGGGTGGGGGTTGGGAAAGGCTGGAAGCGAGGGTCTTGGGGAAGCGGAGTGAACTGAAGGGTCAGGAAACTCAGCTTCTCTCAGACTCCGTGTGGAAGCTGCTGTTTGTGCACCGCTCTCTCTGTGTGGGGTTGATTGTGACGTTTTTTCAAGCCACTTCTCATTGGATCCTTTCTGCCATCCAACAGGAGGAGTTACTATTATTATTCCCCTTTCACAGATGAGAAAACTGACACCCAGGAAAGAGAAGTGACTTACTTAAGGTCACCCTGCTGGTAATGGCAGAGCTCGAATTCCGATTCAGATCCTGCCAACTCTAGATTGCTCCAATTCCGACTCGGTTCTGCGCACCGGAGAGCGAGGCCCCTACGCACCAGCCCCAGAGGCCAGGTTCCCCCAGCCAGATACCAGGTGAGCGGCGGGGGCGGCCGTCCCCGAGGGGTGAGCCCTGCCCTCCTCCGCGGGGCCCTAGGGCTCAGGGACTGCCCAGAGACCAAGCAGACCGCGCAGGGCCTCCGGTACCAACGGAAGCCCGAACCTCGCGGGCCAAAGGGAAGGACGAGGGACAGGGGGCTCGCCCCGCAGCCATGGGGCCGCCAGGAGAGAAACCCTGCCCAGGAGACCTGGAGACCTGGACAGTGCCCCGGCGGAGGGAGGGGAGACCAGTAGAGGGCAAGCGGAGGTGGCTCCACGGGTCGGAAGGGGGATAGTGTGGAGAAGCCCACACCCCAACCCGCCACTCCTGGGCCAAACAAAACCCGAGGGCCTGTTGGGATCCACGGGGCGTGGCCTGAGGGCGGATAGCCAGGTCGGGGCCCTTCTTTGGGTCTGGAAAATGTCACTCTTTGGGACCACAGAAGGGATGGGCAGAAGAAGGTTGTCCCTGGGAAGAAATAGTGCTCCTGCCCGCAGCCCAGAACAGTTCCCTCACGGTCTCGTCCCCATTCCAACCCAGGTGTACTTTATGTTGCTCACCTCTTTCATCCCCCAGTACAGTTCCTAGGGGGGTGCACAGGTCCTGTGGAGGTGACAGGGCTGCCCTCAGGCTGCTGCTGCAGGGTGGTTCAGGGAGACTCTCCCAGAGGAACCCGATTGAGGACCCTCCCCTGAGCCGGTGGTTCCCAGATGCCGGCCCAGACCCCACAGAGGAGTATGCAGCTCTTCTACTTTCCAGTGTTGTAGGTCCTTTTTAAATAATAATTGAAGCAGTCAATGATAGTAGATGACAGTTTTTTTGTTTTGAATGCCCTTAGCAAAAAAAAAAAAAAAAAGGCTAGACTATATTCCTTCATTATCTCTCTCTTTCTCACACATTCACATGAACATATCTATTAGAAAAAATTTACGGTTCCACAGAATTCCACATTTGGGAATCACTGAACTGAACTGCTGGCCAGTGGTGGCTGGTGAGGTAGGGGGCCAGCCATGTGACTTTTTGGTCCCTGATTTGCACAGATTGACTGTGGGATCCTGAACCAGTGGCTCTCTATTTTCATCTAAGGGATCTACAAATCCCCTTTTATATTGAAATGTCTGTGGTCCTTTCAGTCCAGCCTGTATCAGTGCATCCCCCAAACTGCATATCCCTGGGGCATAGTCATCCAGTCCCAGCACAAAAGGCTGTTTCCATGCAGGACCCTGCCCTATCCCTGGAGAAAGGCTGAACAAGGTCCTTCTCACTGGAGAGCAGGGTGGGGGGTGGAGGATGGTGGGTGGGGGTGGGGTGCAGACAGGAGGTAATACTGTGGGGTATGCTGGGCCCCACAGTGACCCCAATCTGTGGAGAAGAAAGCACTGTATCATGTGAGGTGTTTATTTGTCTCTCTTCCCTGTAGTTATCAAGAGCCTGTGAATTCCTGTCTTTTTCATACCTGAATCGGCCCCCATTGGCCTAAGCTGGGCATGGGACGTCCAGTAAGTGCACAGTTAATTTTTGTGCAGGGAATGGATAATGGCTGGTGGCTGGGAGGTCTACACAGAGTGGACCAGGACCAAGCTGAGTTTTGCAGGAGAAGTCGGACTTAAAACATCTGTAAGAGCAGAGAGGGCACCCCCAAGGAAGGAACCCAGGCATGGAGGCTACAGATGCTTGGGGTTGACTGTGATTTTCCAGGACTAGAGGGAGACAAGGCAGGTGTTGGGGCAGAAAGGATGGGTGGTTAGGGAACTCTGTGAAAGGAAAACTAAGAAGATGAGGAAGGCTCTTGAGTTGGAAGCATGAGAGAAAGGGAGAAGCCAGCATGAGCTCCAGGCTAGAGTTTGGGTGATGGAGAGAATGACTGAAACAGGGACAACACTCAGGCCAGTTTTAGACAAGTTGAGGTTGTGTGTATGTGTGTGGGAGGCGGGTGGTGGTGGTGGACAGAATGGGGCACAGGCCATCAAATAAAAATGTCTGGGGTATTCCATCCCAACCACAGGATGGGGTCAAGGTGTAACCATGATTACTATATAGAAAGTTTTAGAGCTGGGACTCTACAGTCTCTGGTCCCACAGACTTCATCATTTTAAAGTGAAGGAAACTGAGGCCCTGAAGTTCAGGTGACTCATCAGCAGGCCTGCAGTCATGGAAGGGAGACTGAAACAGGAGCTTTGGAGAGCGGGGAGGATCAAATTTTTCAGGTTGAAAGAAGAGAATCTGGTGAATGACAGAAAGGAGGAGAAAGCACATTAGAACATTTCCAAAGCACTCTGACAACGTTCAAAGAGCAGCAGTGTTCTACCCATTTATAAACAGCATAGTTGGATGGGCGGTGTAGGAGGGTACCCATACCTCCGCCTTCTGCCATTAGGCTTGTTCTGCTATAGCAATTAGTACTCAAGACCTCAAAGATACTCCTTGCCCCCAGCAGTGAGGGGGTTCTGCATCAAAACAGTGGAGAGGCCTCAATCCCTGGACATGAGCAAGGGTGTTTGCACAGGGTGTAGAGAGGAGAGAGCAGCTACTTCCCTCCGAGGGCCCTGTCTTCTGCACTTACCATGCACAGCTTGAATCCTTGGTGCTGCCAAGTACAACCCTGCTTATTCAGGAGTCTCCAGGCCTGACTGTGGGCTTGACTTAGAAAGAAGGGTTATTGTCTTGGGGTGCCCTCACCTCCCTTGTCATGTCTCTTTCTCACCTCCTGATGTTTCCCTTCTGTACCACCAGGTGGCCAGGGTCATCACAGTGCCATCTGGACACCTCCTGACCAAGCCTGCCCTACCTGCAGCACCCCAGACTCCTACCCAACTCCTTTCCTTCCCCCATTTGATCCTCTCCATCTCGGGAAAACTCATTTCTCAGGGCTGCCAGGCTCGGCAAAGGCAGAAAAGAAAGCAGACTAGACGAATAAATTTGCCTTTAGGTTGTAAATGGCCACCAGCCCACTTAGGAGAAGTCTGTCCCCTAAAGGCCGCCAACTTTAATCAAGCACTTGAGTCCCAGCACTGTGCTTGACCCTTCAGTATGCAGTATTTCATTTGACCCTCCAAGTGACCTCATGGGGCAGGCATTATATCCTCCCTTTCCAAATGGTAGACCCAAGCTCCTGAGAGTCTTAGCAAGTTCCCCAAAGTTATACAGCTAGCAAACGATAGAGATGGGACGACAGTCGAGGGCTTCTACAGGCAAGTCCAGCCAGCTCTTCTACATCACAGGGGCTCATTCAAAAGAAGGCGTCTTTCATGACAGATGGTGGTAAAGAAGATATGAGGGATCCTTAACTGAGGGCGTTGACCTCTAGGCCTAGAGGGTACCCAGGGCTTCAGGAGGGTCTATGAAACTCTAAAAACTATTTGTAAAACTTACTGTGTGCATATGATCTGCTCATTTTTTAGTGGAGGGCTCCTCCCGGCCAGGTGGACCCCTTCTAATCTAAACCCCAGGTCCTGAGGCAAGAAGGCCAGTCACTGAGTAAGGATACTCAGACCCTAGTCTTATTATCTTTCCCTGGTCCTCATTCTGAAATCTCAAAAGGCAAATAGCTGTGAAAGAAGGTGATGAAGGGATTCTTCTGTGGTCAGTGGGTGGGTATTAATAGAATTGAATGGTTAGAACTGTAGAACTGGAAGAGGTTGGAGATGGCCTAGTCCAACCTCTTCATTTTAAAGAGGTGGAGATATGGGCTCAGAGAATGGACCCCATGTGACCAGGATCACACAGAGAGTTAGATCGCACAGAAAATGGTTTATGTGTTTTTTAGGTCAGCTGAAGAGGTCTGTAAGGCTATCGTTTATCAAGGCAAAGAAATCAGCATTTACTGAACCTCATGTGTGTGCTAGCATTTTCACAGGCATTATCTTGTGCCACGTGAGAATTTTGAGTAGGTATCCCACTTCTCACCCTCACATTTCCCTTACACAGGTGATGCTGACTTTAGAGGACGATGACATGAAGGGCTACACATGGGCTATAGCCCCGGCCTTGACTGCCTTGGGTTATTTGCTCATAGTCCTAGTCGCCATCTTCCCTTTCTGGGTACGCCTTGTGAATGAAGAGTCCCGTGAAGTGTTTTTCAGTGGCTTGTTTGAGAACTGCTTTCATATCAAATGCTGGAAGCCTCGACCCTTATCCAGTAAGGAGGGACAGAGGTGGGGACTGGGGAGAGGAAAATGGGGCTAGTGTTGGGAATGGAAGTGACAGAGGACTGGCTGCGGGCAGAGAGAACAGAATTTAATACGGTCATAAGGGCATTTTTCTGAGTCTCCACTCTCTTGGTGTTAGAGGAAAGTAGGTGGCTGGGAAGGGGTTAATGATGTCAGGCTGACCACTAGAGTCAGGAGCAAATGTGTCAGCAACAAAGTTTATTTCTGGGGAAGCAGCAGCTCTATCTGTGATGAGGGCGAAGAGCCTGCCCTACTCTGTGAGGCTCCTCCACTTTTTGGCCTCCATTAGCCCATCCAGACAGCACCCTTCTGGGTGGGCATGATTCCTAGCTGGGGGAGCAGCTCGGTTAGAGTGCAGGCAGGATTTCAGCCTCCACTTGTCCCCTTGGCCACACACCTGTCCAAATCTGGGCAGCAGCTCTGCAGATAATGTGCTCAGACCTGGGTACCACATTTTCAAGAATGTACTTGAGACCATGTTTTATAAGGAATTTGGGAAGTTTGTGATGGTGTCTGTCTTGGAAAAGAAGTGACCCTGGGAGACCCAGGGGCTATTTCCTGGTAACAGGTGAGAGGAGCCACTTTGGGAAAGATGGGCCAGACTGTGTGAGCTTTTTGATTCAGGGTTCCTCAACTTTAGCACTACTGACATTGGGTTGGAGAATCTTTGTTGTGGGGTCTCTCCTGTTTCTTTCAGGATGGTTAGTAGTACCCCTGCTCTCTTCTACCCACTAGATACCAGAAGAACCCTCGCCTCTTAGTTGTGACATCCAAAATTACCTCTTGACATTGTCAACCCCTGTGAGGGGCAAAATTGCCTCTAGTTGAAAAGCACTGGTTTAACCCAAGGGTCGATTCTAGAATTCTGAATCTGCAACACTTTTGTCTCTTTGTTCCACCTCCAGCTGCCTCACTCTGCATGCTCAGGAGTGTATACACACTCATTTTAAATGGGTTTGAATCATGCCAATAGTAGGAGAATAAATCACCATGTTCTCAAGACTCTGACTCTGCTATTTTGGTCTGTTTCATTAATTCTGTTAACCAGGATAATTAAATAGGGGTTCCCCACAGAGTTCAGAACATCTTGACCTCACAAAGTTCTGATTTACCACCTGTGACTCGTTTCGGTGTGACCAGTACGGATGTGATTCTTCACATTTCCATATGTAACAAATTTTATCATGAGGGTTTTATTTTATGTTTTTTATTAAAACCATCATTTGTCCATCTTTTTTTTTTTTTTGGTATACTTCCATGTCATGGGGAACTTAATGGGCCCAGAGTATTCCTGGGAACAAAGTGGAAGGACCAGAAACTTGGTCCCAGGCCACATGTTGGGACCTGAGGGTGGCAGAGCTCCAGGGACCGTGCCCAGGCTCTGTGGGCTCTGCCCTTTGGGGTCAGGGTGCCCAGCGCCAGCCTGCTCTCCCTCCCCTGCAGTTTACATCATCCTCGGCCGAGTTTTCCTGCTCTCTGCAGTCGTCTTGTCTTTCCTCACCACCCTCATCATGGTGTCCTTTGCGTCTCAGCTCTTTCCGAGGACCCGGAAGCACAATTTTGTGTCAGCCTTCATCAGCTTCCTCACAGGTGTGAAACGGGCAGGCAGGCCTTGTCCTCAGGCAGGCCTCCACCTTGGGGAGGGTCCAAAGACAGGGGTGGGGGGTGGTATCTGTGATACCAGGACAGAGAGGATTTTAAGGTGTCTCCTCTGTTGCCTTCTCTAGTATCCCACTCTCAAGCCCAGTGTGAGGATGGATACTTTATAACTCTTCTCCTTTGGGGCTTTTCGGCACTCTGCACTTCCAGCTAGCACAGCTCTTACCACCTAGGCTTGGAGTCATTTGTCTGGGTGCCTTTTTACCATAATTATCCCAGCGACTGTCATAGAATCTGGCATAGAATTCTAATGTAATGAAATATATGATATAAGTGAAATATAAATATTTCTTGGATGAAAGTGAAATATAAATATTTCTTGGATGAATGAATAAAAGAGATCATTTCTGCCTTTTGGAACCTTTGACCTTAAAACGCTGACTGAGGCTCTCTCCTGGGAGGCTCCTATGAGATGGAGGAGATAGATGGCTCACAGTGGGAAAATCAGGTTCAGTTTCATCCAAAGCATCACACCCAGAGGACCCAGCCTGAGTCAGCTGAGGTCACAGACACAGAGGATACGTAGGAAAGGGATTTCTGGTTTAGGGGTCCCTGGGAGGTGAGGCACATGGGCTTTGAGATGAGTTGGGAAAGAGGGTGGGACAGGTATTTGGGATGGAACTTACTGGCTCTGAGTAGAAAGGAACCCCCATGCAGGAGCCATACAGATTATAGGCTACATGGCTCTGTCTGTTTAAGTCTGAGGAGGGCTAGAGTGAAAGAGGAACCACGGAGGAGAGCAAGGGTGCCTCTCTGTGACCCTGCAGGGGCCTGTGCTTTCCTGGCCTTGTTGCTGCATGCCCTGGAGATCCAGAGTCTGAGGATGAAGCCCAGTCCCCCCCAGTTCTCCGTGCAGTGGCCTTACTACATCCTGGGCTTAGGCACCCTTCTGTTCATAGTGGCTGGTGAGTGTCCAGGGGCTTGTGCCCCTCTCCCTGGCCTCTGTCTAGATTCAGGAGCTGTGGATGCTCTAGAGCTGTGCTTTTCAAAACTGCAGTTGCTAGCTACATGTGGCTAACTTTAATTAATTAAAATGAAATGAGGTAAAAAATTCAGTGCCTCAGTCACAAGAGACACATTCCAAATGTTCAGTAACCACATTACTAGGCGTTTAGTGGCTACCATATTGGACAGTAGAGATAGAGAAATTTCCACCTTTGCAGAAAGTTCTCCTGGACAGCACTGCTCTAGAGCTTGACCCTATCCCCTGTGTTATCCTTCCCATTCTTATCCTTCTTGACTTGGGAACCATACTCTTCCAAATTTTCATACTCTTCCTTATACCATCCTCCCTCCTAAGGCTTTCTATTCCTATCTCTATCTTTATCCTGAAATCTGTGATCTTATTCCTCACCCTACCCCCTTTATATACCATCACCATCTAAGTTCTTAATTGCATCTAATTTTGTCCCTACTCCTAAATCTTCTTGCTATGTTAACCTGACTCATGATTATAATCTATTTTAACTCGATTTTACTATACAATAAATATATATAATAAAGAATACTTATATCTGTAAGATATAAGTAATAAAAATAAACCACACACATATTTCCACCATATACTATAAGAACTAGCCATATTTCATTGAATCCATAGTTTGTAAGTTACACTCTTATTTCATATACCACTAAGAAAGAAATATTGATACCAAGTATAATTCTACGATGCTATACCTTGTAAGATGCTGTAGCTTGTAAGATATATCCTCATTTCAGAGATATTAAAATGTGAAAAAAAATTGGTTTGTCAAAATTAATGAAATATGGTAGAAAAGTATCTTTGAAGTCTCTCTCACTTACCCATGTGGCTCTTCCTGATCTCATCCTCTTCTCTCCCCTCCAGAACCAATTATTCTGAAATTTATGCTAATCATATTTACTATACATATATATTCATAAACAATATATTATTTAATTTGCATGCTTTAAAGCTTCGTATAAATGTACATATTCTTCTGGAACTTGTTATATTGGTCAACATTATAACCTTGAAATTCCTCCATGTTAATGCAAGGAACTGAGGTTTATTTATATTAACCACCTTAAGTATTTAATTGTATAACTAATCCACAGTTTATTCATTTTCCTGTCAATGGATGTTGGATGGTTTCCAGTTTATTTTTCTACTACCAACAACACTGTGAACTTTCTTGTGTATGTCTCCTTCTGCACATGTGCAAGAGGGTCTCCAAGATGCCACGTACTAGACTTGCTGGATCCAAGTTTTCTACATGGTGCCAAATAGGTTTCCCAAGAGATGGTGAGAATTTGCACTCTTACTGGCAGGGTGAAAGAATTCATGTTGTTTCACTTCCTTGTCAACATTTGAAATTATCAGACTTTTAAAACTTTGCCAGTTTAATTGTTGTAAAATAGTATTTCACGCTATTAATATGCACTTTCTTGATTATTAAACAGGTTGAACATCTTTTCATATGTTTAGTGGCTATTTGTGTTTCCTCTTCTCAGGAATTCTTATTTAGTATTTTGCCTATTTTTTTGTCCTTTTTTCCATTTATTTTGCTATTCCTTTTCCAACTTCTTAAATCAAGATCTGAGTAGGCATTTAAAGCTTTAATTCCCCTCTAAGAATTGCTTTACTTGCATCTTCCATTTTGATGTGTAATTTTTGTTATTGTTCTATTTCAAATATTTTCTAGTTCTTATGATTTATTCTTTAATCCATGCATTATTTTAAAGTATAGTTTTAAAATTCCAAGCATAGAATTTTAATTGTTTCTCTGTGTTAATGATTTTAACTTAATTTCAATTTGATGAGAGATTGTTGTCTATATAATCCTAATATTTTCAGATTGAGATTTGCTTACTGCCTAGTTTGAGGTCTGTTTTCACGTTTCATATTGAATGCAACCTTTTACCTATAAACATTAGATCAGCTTGTTTATTATGTTTAAATCTTGGTTTACATTTGTTATATTTTACTAGTGAATTGAACTTATTATGCTATAATCCTTTTTATTCCTAGTAATGTTTTATTTCTAGTAATTCTTGTTGTAAAATCTGTTTTTATCTAATATTACTATTGTTACTTCTGTATTATTTAGGTTAGTATTTGCCTGTTTTTTTTAATCTTTTACTAATATTTTTTAATCTTTTACTTTAAACGTTTCTCTATCTTCATGTTTTGGACATGTCTTATAAATAGCGTATGATTGGATTTTTAAAAATCTTGTCTTACAAACTTTGTCTTTTATTTTTTTCTTTTTTTGTCTTTATTGAAATATAAGACAATTAGTTGCTTGTATTTACATTGTACAATTCAATGAGTTTTTTTTTCACTTATAGTTGGCATACAATAATATACTAGTTTTAGTTGTATAGCATAGTGATCAGAGATCCACGTAACTCGCAAAGTGAATCTAGTACCCACTAAATCTAGTACCCTCTTCCCACTTACATACTTATTACATTATTAACCATCTTCCCCATACTACACTGTATATCTTCATGTCTCTTCTGCAATTATCCATTTGTACCTCTTAATCCCTTTGCCTTTTTTTTCTGTTCCCCAATCTCCCTCCCATCTAGTATCCCTCTAAATATTCTCTGTATCTATGAGTTTATTTCCACTTTTGTTTTTGTTGTTGATTTCGTTCTTTAGATTCTACATATATATGAATTCATGCGATATTTGTCTTTCTCTATCTGAACCATTTCATTCAGAGCAATACCCTCTAGGTCCATTGAGGCAATATCTTTTTCCATCCCCTTCCTTTTGGTCTGTGTCTGTCTTTTAATCTGAAGTGAGTTTCTTGTAGGAAGCATACATCGGGGTCTTGTTTTCTTATCCATTCAGTCACTCTGTCTTTTGGTTGGAGCACTTAATTCTTTTCCATTTGAGGTACTTATTGATAGGAATGTAGTTATTTCCATTCTTTATTCTTGTTTTAGATACATGGTTTTTCTTCTTAAAGAAGTCCCTCCAGCATTTCCTGTAATACTGGCTTGGTGGTGATAAATTCCTTTAGCTTATTTTTGGCTGGGAAGCTCTATCTGTCCTTCAACTCTAAATGATAGCTTTGCTGGATAAATTATTCTTGGTTGTAGATCCTTGGTCTTCATCACATTGAATATTTTGTGTCAAGCCCTTATGTCCTGCATAGTTTCTTTTGAGAAATCGGTTGCCAGTCTTATGGGTGCTCCCTTGTAGGTAACTAACTGCTTTTCTCTTGCTGCTTTTAAGATTCTCTCTTTGTATTTAACCTTTGGCATTTAAACTATGATGTGTCTTGATGTGGGCCTCTTTGTGTTCCTGGTTTTGGGAATTCTCTGAGCTTCCTGGCGTTTTATGTCTTCACCAGGTTAGGGACGTTTTCCATCATTATTTCTTCAAATATATATTCAACTTATTGCTCTCCCTCTTCAGGATCCCCTATGACATGGATATTTTTACCCTTAATAGTGTCCCATAGACTCCTTAAATTATTATTATAGTCTTGGCTTCTTTTTCTTGCCATTCTGATTGAGTGTCCTTGGCTTTCCCATCCTCTATATAGGTCATTTGATCCTCTTCTTTATTCACTTTGTTTTTTCCATTTAATATACTTCTCATCTCAGATATTGTGTTCTTCATTTCTGACTGGTTCCCTTTTCTAATTTCCATTTCTATCTTTATGTTTTTTTTTTTTATCTCTGTTAAAGTTCTCACTGAATTTATCTACACTTCTCATGAGTTCATTGAGCATCTTTATAACCAGTGTTTTGAACTCTGCATCTGTTAGATTGCTCGACTCCATTATTTCTGGATTTCTGTTCTGTTCTCTCTCATGGTTTCTGCTTCTCTGTCTTCCCATTTTAGCTGCCTTTTTGTGTCTGTTTCTATGTACTGAGCAAAGCTCCTAAGTCTCCTAGTCTTATTAGTGTGAATTTGTGTAGTAGGTGTCCAGTGGCACAGTCCTGAGAGTTCAGCTGCAGGCCAAATTTAGCCCCAGCCTGTGCCCCTCCGGGGCCACCTGTTAAGATTCAGCAAGCAATCCATCTACAAGCTATGCTTATAACTTGCCTCAAAGGCCACACCAGAAACCAAGGCCAGCTGCCACCTGTGTGAGTCTAGACACTGCTCAGGAAGGGGCACCCAACTAAGCGAGGACACATCTGGATGTGTCTTGGGTGGGGCCACAAGTTGGGGGAGGCGGGTTTCAGGGAATCCTCTGGGCTGAGTGACCTCTGTTATCCAATTTGATGACGTCATGGCTATGGCGGCACTGAGTCTGCACACTGGGATGAGGGAGGGCTCAAAAGAGGAACAGTGGATACCGCCGGCACTTTTGTACAGGGCAAGTCGCACCTCAGCCCTCACCCCGACAACTCAGTGTTCCACTGTAATTCTCTGGTGCCTCATGCCCAGCCGAATCAGCACTGCAGCTCAGAGCAAGCAGGTCCGTCACTATGAAAGTCTGCTTGCGGACATGGCCCTTTAAGAGGCGTCAGCAGCTGCCGGCTGCCGTGCTGCTCTTATGGCCTCTGTCCCACTCAGCTGCTTGGGCCCGGCAGCCTCGCGTCCTCGCCCTGTCCTACCTTCTGCCGTTTCAGGGTGATTTCTTAGATTTCTCCCTAGTTGTATGGCTTGTTCATCCATATCTCAGGTGATTTTTTCCTTGCTCTTTGCTCCTCGTTTCTGTCACAACTTTGATTTGGTCGCCAGAGGAATGAACACAGCCTCTAATCATCTATGCCATTTTTTTTCTGCTTCCCCACAAACTTTGTCTTTTAAATAGAGCATTTAGTTGATTTACATTTATTTTTTCTACCACCTTAATTTGCGCTTTCAGTTCTTTTTTGTTTCCCCCTGCCCCTAACTCTCTTGCCTTGCTTTGAATTGACTGAATTTTATGTATATAATTTTCTTTAAATTTGTCATCTCTTTAGTTTGGAAGTTATATGGTGTATATTTATTTGTTTGGTAATTGTCCTTTGACATTTTAAAATGCTTATTAACAAAGCTGAAAGATAATCAACATATTTATTCTCTTCATAAATAGTACAAGAACTGCCACTCAACTTATATGCTATTTTGTCCAATGTTTTAATTTTGTCATGGTTTTAAAAAATTCTATACATTTGGTATTATTATATACATTTAATATTTGTTAAACTCTCCTATGTATTTATTGACTTAGTTGCTCATCAAACATTCTTAGACCTTCTAAGAACATTATCCTTCTGCTTGAAAATACACTCTTTATAATGATGGTCAATTAAAGACACACTCTCATATTTTGTTTGTATGAAATTGTCTTTTATTTTTTGTTCATTAGTTTTGTTGAACACACATTTTTAACTTGACAGTTATCCTTTCAGCATTCAAGATATTTATTCTATTTTTCCACTTCTATTGTTGTTGAGAAGTTGGGTCTCTGTAAAATATTCTTTTGAAGGTGGTCTTTCTTTTCTCTAGACTTTCTTTGGTATTTTTCAGAGTATGGGTATTTGTGTTAGAATTCGTTCTGTGAACTAAATCTGAGTAGTGTCTTTCAGCATCTTTATCTTCTCATTTTCTTTTCTTTTTTTTTTCCTTTGTGGAACTCTAGGAAGACATCTGATAGACCTTCTTACTCTGTCTTCCATGCCTTAATTTCTCTTTCATATTTTCCTTCATTTGTCTTTCTGGGCTACATTCTGAATGACTTACATAGACATATCTTCAATTTCATCCATTTGCTTTTTAACTGTGCCTGACCTGCGATTTAACCTGTTACATTTTCATTTCAATCTATTTTCATAACTAGAAATGGTATTTTCCTCTAAATTTTGCCTTTTTTATACTTTCTTGTTCCTTATATTTTTAATTGTTTCTAAATGTACATTCATTATACATGTTTAACATACTTATTTTACATTCTGTGTCTTATAAGTTTAGCAAATTATTTGCAGGTTTGACTCTACTGGCTGCTGTTTCTGTAGGCATTTGGTTGTGGTATCTTTTGTGTTTTTTGGCAGTGAATTTTTTTTCCTTGGAATTTTTTTGGGTGGGGGGGGGTGGAAATTCTTGAGGCCTGTCTTGAAAATGTTTCCTCAAAAAAGGATCTGCATTTGCTTCTGCTTGGTGTGTGAGTACACAACTAGCTTAGGATCACAAACAAAATACATAGGTATTATGAATTTAGCTGCAGATGCATATAACAGCTAGCCTATGTTTATGAATTCTTGTTCAATACAAGTAACTTTGAAGTTCCAGCTTCATATGGCAGACTCTTAGTAAATTCTCCATCTTGAGCAGGTCTCAGGCTTTTTCTGCTATTTTTTGTGCCCCAAATGACCAATAGAGTAGAAAACCAGAGTCACCTGGGTTGAGTATGTCTCCAAGGTGAAGGCTAATTGTATGCTTGCTTATTAACTCTCTAGATTCCTGTTTTCATTATGGGTTTGAAAAGATATTCTAAGACTATCTTACTCTGATGCTAACATGATGGTGCATCTGCAAATAAGTTTTTCAAGAAATATTTCATTTAGAATTTTTTATTTTTTATTTTTATTTTTTTTTTAGTGAGAGAGTATCTAGTATTTAGTGGGAGAGTATAATGCTGAAAGTAGTTTTCCTTTATCTTAGTGTTAACATTAATACAGCATTTACAATTCACTTAAGGTATCTCCATTTGTTCTTATAAACATCAATTCTCTTTTTCCTTTCTTTACTTTACCAAAGGTCTTGAGTTGGGCATCAAGAGGCCTGGGTTTTGTGTTTAACTTTCCTCTGTTAAATCTTGTTTTCTCACCTATTAATGGTTAGAAAATTGCTAAGATGCTCTAGCACTGGCCATGGTTCTGTGAGTTTATCCATCTGTTTGCATGCCTGGTCTTCTGATGCATTCTGTTTCTTCTCTGTGTCTGTAATACACTAGGTTGGAGAGGAGTATTAGGGCAGGTACAGACTAGAAGGAGTTGCATTAGAGGGCGTTCTTGACCTCTTGGGCATGAAGTGCAACATTCTAACCTGTGCCAAATTTTTGCTGTTATCTAGGTACCATCTGCCTCTTTCAAGAAACAGCCTGCTTTAGGTGCTGTTTGTTGCCCATTTCCCATAAAATTGAGGCGACTCAAGAAATCTCGGACCTTGACAATCTGGAAAGTTTGGAAGAACTAAGCTCAATACAAAAGGAGACACTATTGAAGGAAGAGACAATTATCTAGTCCAGAAGAGTCTGTCCTCTGCCATTTGTCAAGCTGTGTGAGTACATGTGTGTGGGTGTGTGGTGCCCCCTTCTCTGCCAGTCTCTACTATTTCTGATGAGCTTCTCAAATGTCAAATTAACACTTCACTTCCCTATAAAGTTATTCTATTTCGCTCATATTCGAAATTTGTTAAGTTTTTTTTTTTTAATTCTTCAGAGCTTCCTGATTGATTGATTTTCTTGCCTTTCTTTGCAGGTGTTTTCAATAAAAGGAGGACTACTGCCTATCAATCCATACCTCAAAAACCCAGCCTGGAGGGCAGGAAGGGGAGGCAGGAATATAACAAAATTTTAAAGTGAACTTTCATAAAACAAAAATTGAACAGAATGTAACCACAACAAAAGGTGTTTGAATTAGTCACATTAAAAAGAAAAAATGATGTCCCCATACAAAAGTGTGACTCAGTACAGGAAACTTTTCTTAAGTATGTGTTGGGGGAAGGGCTAGGTGGTGTTAAAGGTGAAAACGTCCCCAAACTTGAGTTCCCAGGTCTGGAAACCTGAGCCTTATGAGTCTATGCCTCTGGGAAAAACATAAGGCAAGTTAGCCAGTCAATGTCTCAGCATTCCATCCTTCTACTAGAGTGAGAAGCCTCCTGAGTATGCCTCTAACATGCCCCCCCCGCCACAGTCTTTATGCTGGTTACAGACTGGGGAGCACTCAGCCTCCCAGGTAGGATGGGTGTAGCTGGGAAGTGAAAATGCTTTGGGGCAGTGGGGGCCCAGAACAGTGATTCAAGACCCTTCATCTCAACAATACCAAGTAACAGTGCCTCTCCACTCCTCTCTCTAAGGAATATATGTGGAAAAAGCCCCTAGTACTTAAGCAGTACATTTTCTTTCTTTCTTTCTTTCTTTCTTTGCCTCTCCACTCCTCTCTCTAAGGAATATATGTGGAAAAAGCCCCTAGTACTTAAGCAGTACATTTTCTTTCTTTCTTTTTCTTTCTTTCTTCTTTCTTTCTTTCTTTCTTTCTTTCTTTCTTTCTTTCTTCCTTTCTTTCTTTCTAATTGTTTGCAAGTCATATACTAGAGAGATAATTTCTTGGTACCTTCCTTCCTTTTCTTTCTTTCTTTCTTATTATTTATTTATTTTATTTTTTAATGCCTACAGCACTTAGTCTTCCTAGGTGGTCTCCCATCCAAGTACTAACCAGGCCCGACCCTGCTTAGCTTCCGAGATCAGACGAGATCGGACACATTCAGGGTGGGATGGCCATAGACTGCATAGGTCTTTCTGGAGAGAAGTGATGGACGTGGCTGGTCAAGTGGGCTCCATTGGGACTGTCAGTGTTCATTAAGCTTAACCTTGTGCACTGTACCATGGGGGTACACAAAGGTTCCTGTTTGCCATAGGCTCACATCCAAGCAGAGGAGCTAAGACATATATATCTGAAAAACAGCCACTAGGTGTTTTAAGTATAATTTTTAGTTTTTAATGTTTCTCTCCAAAAGATACTTTGAGAGTTTCTTATAAAGATATGGTGACAGCCTACTTCCAGCTGTCTCACTTTTCCTCCCCCCAAAATTCACATAGGAACTATAATTGTCAGTGAAACTAAGAATAAAGAAAATCTACAAACTCTAAAATATGTAATTGTGGCCCAAACCACCCTAAACCAGCAGGACCAGTATGAGAAACCACAACTGGAAGAATGGCATGATGGGCACAGTTGAGAGGGAGGAGTCAGAAAATACATAGGGGTTCTAGTAGGGGCAAATTCCAAACATCATTAGCAAATATTAACCTTCAGATGTCTGTGAAGGACCCACCTTGAGAAGGAATGGCTATGAACAGGATAGAGAAGAAACATGGGGCATGTGTGTTGAGGCAGAGAAGGCACGGAAAGTGCATGGGAGTCTATAAAGGGAAAGATTTAAGAAAGCATCACTTGTAAAAGAGGTGATCAGAAGGCAGATGACGTATCTCAACAGCAATGACTGGGTGAGAATGGCAGGAAGGAAGGTAGTGGTAGTACAAGCCCTTCTGAACTATTGGGATATAAGAATCAGAGGAATCCTGGCTACACTATATATTAAAGAAAGTATCCCTCAATGTAACAATGAAAGAAAAAGCCCTGGCACTGAGAAACTGGGAATGTTCTACTTACCTGACTCCTTTTTCACAGTATCCTTCTCCAAATAGCTGGTCCAGGAATATCAAACTCATTCAAATAAAAGTAAAACTAATATGAATTCAAGGGTAGCACAGGAAGAAGAAGTCTGGATATGAAGAAAACAACAAAAGTGTTGCCACAAAGTAGAGGAAAATTATAATCCAATATTCCAAGATAAAAAACTTAATGAAGCTATTGCAGGTAGGAAAAAGAAAAGCCCACAAATCAGAATTATAGGAATTTAGAGAAGAAATGTCCTGACAACAGAAGATGAGGGCCGGAATACAGTGAGATGTGAAATAGGAACTGTTAGAATTCAAGAAAGAACTGGAAAGAGTCAGAAATAAAGATAAAATTATAAGAAACACCAAGGAGAATAGATACCAGAACAGTAAGACATAAAGTATTAAGAATAATAAAAGTGAAGAAAATGAAATAAAAGGTTTAGAGTGAAAGTAAAAGCTATAAAACTCATGTAAAGGAGATCTGACGTATGTATAATTGGAGTCCCTGAGGAGGAAAACGGAAATAAATAGAACAATATTTAAAACTAAAATTGAAGAAAATTTTACTGAAAGTTCCTTTCTATCAAAAAGGAGTCTACATTTACTTGCAAAAATTGATTAAAAAAAAAAAAAGGTAAACTTCCATGATTGGGGCAGTGCTTTGTTTTTTACTGGAATAGACACTCTGGAACAAAGGACTGTCCCATCATGGGAGGCCTGGAACCTCTTCTTTTATTCTCAAATACTGGCTTACAATGCAAAATTACTAGACATGCAAAAAAACGTGACTGACGGAAAACAATCGCAGATGCTATGATGATCCAAATATTGGGGTTATCAAACACAAATTTTAACCACTATTAAGTTATTAATGTGTTCACAACTTAGAAGAAATGTAAAATTTCCAAAAAGTTGAGAAAAGTATACCAAAATGTCATTTCATGCAACACATTCTGTTGGCTAATCTGTGGGGAAACAGGCACTGTTATATGTTGTGGATGGAAGTGCAAAATAATCTGTATTGAGGGGAATCTGGCAATATCTACAAAACTGCAGAAGCATTAATGTTTTAACCTAATATTCTCAATTTACGAATATGCCTGCACACATTTAATAATGACATTGGTGCAAGGTATTAATTGCTGCAGCGTTTGTAATAAATGATTAGAAGCAACTCTAATATCCATCAATACAGGACATGTTAAATTATGTTATATGCACACTAGCTTAAAAAAAAAGAATGAGAAAGATTTCTATGTACTGATGTGGAACATTTTCTAGGACATATTGCATGATAAAAAGCAAGGTATCTACTTTTTTGTGTATAAGAAAGGAGGAAAAGATAGGGAAAATATACAAATATTAGTATTTGTAAATAAACACTTAAAGGGATACAATAAACTAATAAATCTTTAGAGATGGGGTAGATTAGGAATGGGCTGGGTGGAGTGGGCAGAGGAAGAAGCAATAATTCTCTAACTTTTTATATGATTTTGACTCTTGAACCATGTAAATATACCAATTGAAAATTCATATTAAATCTTCTAAGAGTAAGTTGGGTAATATAAGTCAAATATCCCAAACTGTTGATACCAGCACTTTGAACTCCTATGACCTTCATTTCTGTAGTTAATGCTACAACAATGTTCACTTCTGCCATTTTACTTTGTCCTGCTAAAGACAGGCCTGATATTCTACCCATATTAATAAAGAAACAGAGAGGTGAAATGTTTACTCCAATGCCAGACCTGACCCCCCAGGCCCTTTGGTGTTCAGTACAGGTTTTTAAATTTTTTATTTTTAACCCATTTCCTGTTTAGAAAAAAAAGTACAGCATGCTGCCAGCGTTAATTTAATATTACATAAACATGCTCTTTGAGGCTGAAGCAAATCTGACTGGTTTTCGATGTGAAAATAAAATATGAAAACTGTTCTTGGAGTTATTTCTAAACAGAACTTGTCTCTAATCCAAATATAACAAATGCATATCATGATCAATATTTAATAATTTTTTTATGTGGTAAATTTCAAAGCACGGAACAACACAAAAGCAGAACATCTAGGATTTGACTTTTTCAGCAATTGAGAATTATCTATATTTTGTAAATGGAAATACAACTACCAAAAACAATGTATATGTAGAATGATGTCATTTGTTTCCAAAGACTATCGATATCCTAGAGCGATGCAAAAATAATAAAAGTGAGATATATCATGGCAAACTTTGGGGGTAAGGTTAAGACTGTAATCCTCGAGTTATCTTGGGGTAAACGCTGCTGCCACAAGTGCCACCAGCCAGTATTCTCAGGGCAAATGAGAAATGGGTTAACTAAACTCTGCTGCCTCTTCTCTTGTTTCCTCTCCATGGTAATGACAACCTCTAGCACCCCCTTCCCTATTTCTGTATTTCACTCAATATCCTCATCCCTTTTCTCTTTAGTCAGATAATTTTTTTTCCTCTCTCCCTCTACCGCTGCTGCCACAAGTGCCACCAGCCAGTATTCTCAGGGCAAATGAGAAATGGGTTAACTAAACTCTGCTGCCTCTTCTCTTGTTTCCTCTCCATGGTAATGACAACCTCTAGCACCCCCTTCCCTATTTCTGTATTTCACTCAATATCCTCATCCCTTTTCTCTTTAGTCAGATAATTTTTTTTCCTCTCTCCCTCTACCCCTCCCCTCAAATTTATTCAGTAGCATCTTGTTTGCTAGGAAAAAAAAAGGCTTCATTTTTGCAGAGCTCACCTTCTCTGAAATTTGTCTCCTTTTGGCTGATGCTATTTCTCTTGGTTATAGTCTGATCTCTCAGGGCCAGGAGCTTGAGGTTGGAATGTGGCTGGTTTCTTTTGTAGTTTTCAGATGACTTTTTCTTCAAAAGTCTCCTTTTTAAACTGTGGGAAAGAAGAGTAAGTGATGTGGAAAAGCTCTTCCAAATATAAAAGATATTATAAAACTGCAGTAATTAAAACAATTTGTCAGGTCCTGACACAGGGTACAGACAAGTTACAGAATAGAATAAAAGTCCAAACATAGAGCCAACTTTACATAGGAATATAATACTTGATAAAATTTGCCTTTTAAATCAAAAAGAAAAAAATAGATCCTTCAATAGGGTTGAGGAAATCTTGCTAGACATTTGAAAAAAAAATGGAGGCTGGACTTCTATTTTTTTTTCTTTGATCAGATGCATTTCAGACAGAACTAAGATTTCAACTTAACAACAAAACCTTAAATATATTGGAAGGGAATATGGGGATTTAAAAAATCATCTTGGAGTATAGAAGTGAAAAAATATTCAAAGAAAAAGGAAAGATACGTTTGAATTCATAAAACAATCTTGCAATGCATGAAGTTCCATTAAAAAAGACAAAAGACAAATAGGAAAATATTTGCAAAACATTTAATAAAGGGCTAATTCTCTTAATGACTAACCCCCCCCATATTAATAAGAGATAACCCAACAGAAACAAGATAAAAAGGATAAAAATAGCTAGTTCACAGAAAAAGAAATACAAGTAACTAATGAAGGTAGGAATAGTAATGAACTTCACTCATAATTAAGAAATGCAACTAAAAAGTGGGGCGAATTTGTTTCATTTATCACACTGGCAAAGATGAAAAAGTTTGATAACATCCACTGCTGATGTGATTGTGGGGAAACGAATATTACCCCCCACTGTTTGTGGGAGTGGAAATTGGTGCGGCCTCTTTGCAAGATAATTTGACAACAGTAGCTGATAACTTTTAGACCCATGAATTCCATGTCCCAGAATTCATCCTTCAGATTTATTTGCAAACAGTGCACAAGGAATTATGTATAACAATGTTCATCCCAGATTTCTGGTAAATCCTAACGCTAGAAACAACCTAAAAGTCCACCAATAAGCGTCATAAGTCATGAGAAATACATGCAAAGAAATACTCTGCAGCTAGTAAAAAGAAAGCAGTAGACCAATATGTATAGACTTGGAAAGATATATTGTTTAGTGCAGGAGTCCCCAACACCTGGGCCATGGGCCATGGACTAGTACTGGTCAGTGGCCTGTTAGGAACCGGGCCACACAGCAGGAGGTGAGTAGCGGACAAACGAGTGAAGCTTCATCTGTATTTGTAGCCACTCCTCAGCACTAATATCACTACCTCAGCTCCACCTGAGATCATCAGGCATTAGATTCTTATAGGAGCACCGGTCCCTGGGGCCAGCAAGGTTGGAGACCGCTGCTCTAAGCAATAGTTTCTATTGCTACTCTTTAAACTGGTTTAGTGAATAAAAGCAAAGTGCAGAACAGAATATGGAACGATTCTCTTTGTGGAAAACAGAGAAAATATGCAATTTATGCTTAGTTTGCCTGTAACATTTCTGGAAAAATGCCTGCAATCTGCTTCGCAGCTTTATCCTTACTTCTAATTCCTCAGCTTCTCCTTGTTTTTCTTGTTGGTTTCTATCCCTCCTCTCTGTTAGCTTAGATTCCATGGTCACTCAATACAACCTCCTCCCACCAGAGCCCTCCTTACCTCCCGCATGGCATTCTTCATAATCATCATGACAAATCCCAATATTGGGTTAGTCCAGCTGTTTGTTTTCTGCAGATCTTCCCTCCAGATTGTACAAACAACTGTGTGTACTGTGTCACTTGTTTTCAGTCTCACTTGGGTGTTCAGTGTGGCTTGACAATCTTTCCATTCACCCTACAAATTTTTCCAACATCATTCTTCACAACAGATTCCAATTTTTGCTCCATTATTTAAGCTCGAAGCCTATCATTGTCCCTTGCACTCTCAGCAGATAACATCACTGAGAAGAGGCCAAGAATGAACTACTTAAACACCTCTCTAGAATAATCTAAAAATCTATTTCAGGAGTTGCAAACTGTAGCTCTTGTGTCAAATCTAGCCCTAGCTGTGAGCTAAAAATGGTTTTCACATTTTTTACAGGATTATGAAAAATGAAGGATACTCAACAGACTATGTGTTCCACAAAGCCTAGGAGAGTTACTACCTGTTCTTTCCTAGAAAAAGTTTGCTTACCCCTGACCTAGACCATCACTCATCTTTGATTTTTTTCTTCTCAATTCAGGAGAGCCCCTTTCTCCTTTCCAAAGCCAACCTAGAAACCTGTGATCTGACCCAGTCTCCTTCTGCCTCTTCCAGAATGTCTTCTTCTCTATGTCTTCTCCACAACGAGATGAAGAATGCTTTCTTTTTTTTAAAAAAAAAACAGTGTTGCTAGGTATAGTTCATTTTTCCCGATTGAGCCAATCCAGGCAGATTCCCTTGGCTCAATCTGGGAAAATTTACCAATTATATGGTAAATTCCATTCTTATTCCTCTTGGATTTGAGTGTATGTTAGTAAATGGAGGCTATCTGATGCTATTTCCAAGATGGACTGTTAATGTCATTTGCAATATAAAAGAATCTGAGATCCTGGACGTGGCCCTGGTGTGTGATAGAAGGTTATGGCCCCAACTTCTCTTTCCAGATAACCAACCAGTTGTCTGCTTTTAAAGTTTATTCTTATCTTATTGATACGAGATATGGCCTTTGTCATTTACTAAATTATTCCATCTTCCCTCTCATTCTCCAGATCCAATCAATCCTCAAACCTTGCCAATTTTACTTCCCTAATAGTTTTCATATCTAAACCCTCCTTGCAATCCCCTGTCTCATCAACAGTTCTCTCTCACCATTATTCTCCTGGATTGCATTATTTGGCCACATTTTACGGCTGCAATCTTCTCATCTCTCCACCTCCCTTTCCTCTTGTCCAGTCTTTCTTGTAGGGTTCTCAGTAGCATCTTTCTAAAATCGGCTTTCCGGTCTTTAAACCTTTCCGTGGCTTCCCATTGCCTTTAGGTTAACCGTCTTCTCCAGTGGCTCTGATGGTGTGGTCATGCCGTTAATACCTCCCAACTCGCTGGGATCATCGCACTCCTTCGGTTGGGGACACTCTTACCTCATCTTTTGGTCCACCCTTCGAATCTGAGCTCAGGTGCCAGCTCTTCCCCCTCCTTCCCCAATTACTGGGGTCGAGGTCCCTCTTTGTGAACCTATAATATTTAGTGCCCTTGGCCCCGTCACCCTTGGCTCCCATGCTTCCCACAAAATACCCTGGTGCGCAGAATGAACACGAGTTGACTCCCTGGACTCTAAAGCTCCTCGAGGGAGGCATTGTGCCCGATGTATGTCTGGAGAGTCCTTGCCACAGAAGGAAAGCAAGTGCAAAGACATAGAGGCGAAAAGGGGCCTGGTGACTGAGAGCCCCGAAGAGAGCAGTTATCTTGGAAAAGAGATCCTCACGGTCCCGCGCAGGCTCTGAACGGTCCCCGGGGACGAGCGACCATCGAGACGCCCTGACCTCCGAGAGTCCTAGAGAGGAAACGGAAAAGCCTTTTCCTTACACACCTGTTTGACAGCGTCCGCGGCCCACTTCCGGTCTGCCGAGGGCCCTGGCGATTCCGGCGTGGGTACCCCGCCGCGGGTGAGATCCGGTTTGTGGCGGCGCGGCGCGGCAGGGCGGCGGTCGGGGCTCCAGGGTTCGGGCTGCTGTGCAGCTGCGGGCTTCGGCGCCGGCGCCCACGCTGCGGGCGGCGCGTCTCCTCGGAGCTGCCTCCTGCGGCATCGAGGCCTGGCTGGCCGGGACCTGGGGTGACTGGGGGCGCCTGCAGTAGGCTCAGGTAGGAGAGAGCGAGGATGATCCCGCCAGGCCGATCCCGCCAGGCCAGGGATGGTCTAACGCAGTGCTGTCCACGAACCCGAGACTTTGAACCAAAATGGAACTCTCTGGAAAGTCAAAGTAGTTATTTTAGAGCAAGACGTAGGACACTCCTTAGACGAATAGCAATGGGACGCCTTCTGTTTGTCAGGTTTCAGAGATAGAAAATGAGTGAGAACCTTTTTTGCCTTTAGGGAATCTGGTAGACACAGACACATTGGTAAACATTTGCGGGATAGTGTGTTAAATGCAATAGTTAGCAAGTCATGAAAAAGTAATCTCAACTGATGCAGGAGAGAAAATGAATAGACTGAAAATGTAAAATAGTTTTAAGAAGGGTAGATAAATACACAAACACCTGATAGAATATTAAGCAGAAGCTTCACAGGCGCTTCCTGCCAGTTGCTCATTTATTGTTCCCTTTAGAGTAATCCTTCCCGCTCCCCCATCCCGAAAGTGGAGCCCCTTACCGCTTTGGACTTCCAGGTCTGATTCCCAGCCTAGGTCACCTCCTCTAACCCCCAGTGGAATTAAATAGTTCTCATTCTCCAGTCTAGTACAAACATCTTCTTTCTCATGAGTACTTGAATCTACATTTCCCTTTCTCTTTTTGGTTTCCCATGTTTCTCATCTAAACCATATGTGGTGGGAGGCTAACCTTGGCCAGACATCTCACCTCTTAGATCTTCAGCTTCTTCATCTGAAAAGTAGGGGAAGTAGTACTCACACAGTATTGTATTAAATGAGTGTGTGTATTCACATGCTTTCTAAATGGTAAAACCTACACAAGTTAGAAATCTTTCTATCAATTATAATGGTATATATGTTGCTCTGTTTTGTTTAGGTTGAGCATATATCTAAGCCGCTAGTAAATCTGTTGGGTTTACCTCTAAAATATGTCTTGACTTAGTCTGCTGCTTTGCCACCATCCTGATCTAAGTCCTGTTTGGATCACTGTAAGTACTGCTTCCCTTCTTTTCCCTTCTAATCTGTTCTCAACACACTTTAGGCAAAGCGACTTTGTAAAACATGTAGCTCTCCACTAAAATAAGAAATAAGAGTAAAGCCTGTAATTCTTAATGTGACGCAGGCCCTGGATAATTTGGTTTTCCCCTACCTCTGCCACCACTTCTCATATAGCTCTGTCCCTCACTCACTCTGCTGAAGCCACACTGTACTTGGGCTTCTTATCTGACACAGAGTAATTTCTAGCCTCAATTGCTCTTTAAATGACTGGCTCATTCTCACCCTTCATGTCTCAGCCTAAGTGTCTTCTCTTCAGAAAAGTCTTCTTGAACTTTGTTCTCTATGAATAGAGTACCCTACTTGTTTGCTTTCTAGAACTTACTCCTATTTAAAATTTTAATTTATTTGGTTATTTTTTTTTGTCTGCTCTACTAACGTATGCACTTCAAAGGGCAAGCACCTTGTCTTTCTTGTTCTCTGTTGTATTTCTAGTTTCTATGGGCCTGGCACATATATGTGTTGAATGTATATTTCCTGTAGTGTTGGAGAGTGGGCTGTGGAGACTGACCTAATTATCACCCATCTCATATTATTCTCTGATTGTAGTGTTATCTACCTAATGGCATCCTAAGGTATTTGCGGGAATAAGCTAAATCCTGTACATTTTGTATTTACTTTCTGCTCATACTAGGTAGTTAGCAAATACTGAATTGAATTGACATGATTTTCAAGGTATATGTTCAGTCTTTTGGAAATGCCTCATAGAAGGTAATTACCCTGTACTATAGCAAAATAGTCATTGATGTAGAGACAACTGGGGTCGACTGATTTTTCCTGTCTCATTTATGCTTATTATCTGTCTGGTCTTCCCAACAGACCGTCAGTCTTCTGGGTGGGAGTGTGAAGATGCTTAAAGAGCGTCCAGGGATGGCAGAAGATCCTCAGCAGCAGATGGGTGTTCCTGTGGTAAAATTGGAGAAAGAATTGCCATGGGGCAGGGGAAGGGAGGACCCTAGTCCTGAGATTTTTCGGCTGAGGTTTCGGCAGTTCCGCTATCAGGAGGCAGCCGGTCCCCAGGAAGCCCTCAGGGAACTCCAGGAGCTTTGTCGCCAGTGGCTAAGGCCTGAGCTCCATACCAAGGAGCAGATTCTGGAGTTGCTGGTGCTGGAGCAGTTCTTGACCATCCTGCCCCGAGAATTCTATGCCTGGATTCGGGAGCATAGCCCAGACAGTGGCAAGGCCCTGGTGGCCATGGTGGAGGACTTCACAGAGAGAGCACTGGAGGCCAAGGCGGTGGGTGAGAAGGGGTCTCGGGTCTTGTTTTGTTGGCGTGGGAAGGGGAGAATTAAAGAATCGAAAGGTTTGAGGAAGTAGTGGGAGTTGATGAGATACAGAATCTCTCTCCTCTGTTCCCACACTCCCTGAGGTACTTTTTGGGAAGCAATGGAGTTTTCAGCAAGAAAAGCCATTCCCAGGGCTTCTTTTTGGGCCATCAGGGCAGAGGCCTGGCCTTATTTCCCTTGTGACCCTCAGGCCCAAAGAAGGCAGTTGCGATGGATTTCAAAGTCCCTCCTACACCCATTCATTTTTGGGCAGAGCTGTATGTGGGGACGCAGGTAAGTCCATTTGGTGAATATCTCACTAAGAGTTATCTGTAACTGTTGTTTCCACATCTGAGATGTTGGCCCAAATGGCTCACATAGCAATGCTGTGGTGGTATTCTGGTAACATCAAATAACTGCACCTCAGATACGTTCTTGGGACTCTTGGCCATGTCTCTGTCACTCTCTTATACAGTCACCTGATTATTGGCTAGGAAAGAAGATAGCAAGTTTTTCTTACTAGCTAATTCACTGAAGAGTCGGAATTTTCTATTTTTTACTTTTATCATCTAACTGGGGAATTTTTTTCCTAGTGGTGAGTGTTTTAGGCTAAAGTTCTCAATATTTAGGCTCTCTGTGATGTTATTCCTGGTGGAATTTGATTTGTATCGAGGCAGACAGAAGGGACTCTTGTAAAATGGCGTGGACACATAAAAGTTGCTCAGAGCCTGAGAAAGTTAGTTTAGCTTCCTTTTCACTTTCTCACTGTTGTCCTGGCAAAGAACAGAGCCAGCTTGTCTTCCTCTCCCCCGCAGCTGGGATGGTTCTTTTCTTGGCTCTACTTTTAGGTTTTGATTCAACTCCCTTCATAATAGCCTTACCAGGCCTTGTTCTAATAGGTGTTGGGGTCTGTTCTTAGGTTCCATGCCACATGCAGGGACAGCAGGAGGAGACGGCACTTTGCAGAGGTCCTTGGGAGCCAGGTGTCCACCTGGGGCCAGTGGAGGTCAAGCCTGAGTGGGGGATGTCCCATGGGGAAGGAGTTCAAAGCCTAGACCAAGGCACCGAGGAGCAGCTCAATCAGGCCCCTGGAGCTGGGACGCAGACCTTCCAGGAGCAGGGTAAGATGCAAGCAATAAGGAAGCAAGGGCATAGGTAGTGGTACTTTGTGCCCTCCCCCTCACCTTTTCCTTTACAAACCCAGCAGTTGATAAACTAAAGTTACCTGCAAGGTATAATTTTAAGTTTTCCTGGCTACTTCATTGACTTCAGTAGAAAACAGATGAAGTGAAATCGTTTCTATACCTTGACTCTTTGCTTTCTGCAGGGGATATCTGGGATCATGCTCTCTTGTCATTTCTTCTCCTTTTCCTCACTTCTCTTCTAGAAACCACCAGGAAATATGCAGCTAACATGTAGAGATATATTTTTTTAAGTAGGCAGACAAACCGTATCCCTAAAAGTAATGTGTGACTTTATTGTGCTGCTGAATCTCAAAGGGAGTTATTCCTGGGGTAGGGAGCACAAATAGCCTTGAAGGGGCAGAGTGTATTGGGTTGGGACCATCTCCCAGCTGAGAACAGGGTAGGGTACACCCAAACCCCTGTCTTTCTGGAGTCTCCTTGTGGTTCCTGGTTTTTTTTGTGTCAGGCAGTGGACACCTTTGTGAGCTAATTGCATGACAACACTAATACTGCTCATGCTTTTTTCGCCTCTGCTCAGCTCTGCCAATTCTTCAGGCTGGTCCTAGCCTCTCCACTGTGAACACCAGAGACCAGGAGATGGCAGCTGGATTCCTTTCGGCTGGATCTCAGGTAAGCTGTGCCTCTACCCTTCTGGTGATCATGATATTGCTTTCAGTGAGGCTCACTTCTCCCAAGATTTCTCTGCACAACAGAGCTCCACCCACAAAATTGAATTATTCTACCTTTCTTTTTCTGATGGGCATGACAGCTTTGTTCTCTCCACTTTACCACCCTTAGTTATTTGAATCGAGCCTTAGGGTCCAGGCATAAGGCTAAATTCACTTGTTTGTATTATCTAGGCTGTGGTGGTTGGCCAGATCAGTACCCCTTTGTGGATAGCCTTATTGGATACTTCTGCTGCTGCTCTTCCTCTGGACCTCCTCTCTTGCCATGTCAGCTGGAAGGCAGCTGACTCATGGTTGGGAGCTCCCAGGAGTGCTGAGCACACTGGTTTCTCTGGCCCCTACTCTGGTCACATCAGGAGTTTTGGCCTGTTTGTATGTCTTAGCCTGCCATGAGTTGAGTAACTAGAGCACAGATGGGGTACTCTTGCCACGGTGTAAGTCTCTTCCATGAGATGCTGAGCATTACCAGGGAAGTGGGGGATTTCCAGTGTGGCACCTCTCTGAAGGGGACAACGAGTCCTACAGTGAAGAGTTCCTTGTAGAAGGAAAGAGATAATTTGGTAAAAAAAAAAAAAAGTGAGTCAAGTCTGATATAGCTAAAGCAGTATTAGTTAGGGTTTGACGCCTGTGTCATTTCCTATTCCTGTTTTCTAAGGACAGGGTCTGGAGAAATGCAGAATGACAGCATGTTTTAATTTGGTCAGACCCTCCCTGTCTACCATAATAGTTCTTCATGGTGTCACGAATGACAGTGCATTTATTTAAACATGGCATCATTAAGACAGGGCTTGCCCAAATTTTTACTTATCTTTGAGGGAAAATCAGTTTGAAATGAGAGGATAAATAGCAGCTCCCAGGTTTGATCAGGCTTGAGGACTGAGTGGAGGTAATTGAAAAGTGGAAATTAGATGTCGTGGTTGTTAGATACAAGCTAAGTGTGCAGCAGAGACTCAAATAAAGTGGCTCAAACAAGTCCATTATTCTCTGTTATTAAACTCTTGAGAGGTAGGCACTTCTGCTCCTGGGCCCATCTAAGGACCGTGGTTTCTTCCATCTTCTTGCTCTGTTCTATTGAGCGTCGTCCCCTGTGTTCTCTCTCCTTTTAGACTGCTCCTACTTTGGGATTATTTCTTTATCCATAGAAATCTCCTATTGTTTCAGGGGTTGGGACCATTTAAAGATATGGCTCTGGCCTTCCCAGAGGAAGAGTGGAGGCATGTGACCCCAGCACAGATTGACTGCTTTGGGGAATACGTGGAACCACAGGACTGTGGGGTCTCACCTCCAGGTAAGACTGTTTCCATCCCATAGGTAGGACTCTGAGGTGTTTTGGAAGCTACAGTTTAGAGTTTTTGCCCTTGCCCCAGATTTTAGAACCCGATGCTATACTGACAACAGAAGGGGATTTCATGGCAGGTGAGTAAACTGGACCAGGGTAAGAGCATGGATCAAGGATGTGAGAACAGGCTAGGTGCATTTCTTTGTCAGGAGAGGAATGGACAGGGGCAAGAAAACACAAGGTAGTTATTCTAGCTATGATGAGACAGGTTGGTCATTAGGATTCCCTGAGCACCTAATCTGTGTCCACAATTGAATATACTGAGGGCTTGAGAGCAAGAGAAAAGCAGCAGAAGGTGGATCCCCAGATCTCGTACATTCAGTAGGTATTTATTGAGTGCCTCCTGCATGCAGGCCCCATGTTAATAGCTTTGTGTTGGGGCAGGGTTAACGAAAGTGAAACCTTTGGAGCATGTGGTGTGTGCAGAGGAGGGCACAACAGCTTACAGTAGGATTTTAGAGACAGGAGGGGTGGGTGTGAGCCCATATCACAGAGCAAACAGCCTTGGTCGGGCACGTCTCATATGAGGAGGAAGCTGGGAGGACTTGGCTATCACACACGTGGGAGGAGTTCATAGGAGGCGGAGGAGCAGCAGGAGAACAGAGGGAAGAGTGAAAGAGAAAAGCTCAGATGAAAGCCCTTCTGGGAAAGCCAGCAGGGGCCACTGTAGGGGCTTGGAGACTGTCAAGGTGAAGAGCAGCGTGGAAAAATCTCTGTGCGCTGAATGGGGAGTGGAGTGGGGAGAGGAAAACAAACGTGGATGGGAATAGCCCTCACCTTTGTTCCCTATAATTCTTTTTCCTTTAATAACTTCTTTGTAAGGTAGGTACTGATCATTCATATGTCTTGACTCCTCCTGGCTTTTTTTCATCTTGAAATATGTTGAGGGATGATTGAGTATCATTGTACTTCCTTTGGGACATGAGAGAACTCATGGGGTAAATTTGGCATTTACCATGTGGTTAACACTCTGTTAGTCACTATGAAGAGTTAAAGATAAAGGCACTTGCCTTTACAGTCTTTAATGGTCCAGTGAAGACCCCAGGTGCCTATAAGAATGGTCCTTACGGAGTAGTGTAAGGGGCACTAGAGGGAGGGGGCTCGGGAGACCTAGGTCCAGTACGTGGTTGTCACACAATGAGAAAGAGATGTAAGGTTTCTCTGAAGGCAGAGGATGTGGAAACCCTCAGAGATAACTGCAGAGCTCAGGAGCTTGTGCAGCATGCCTCAAAACTAGAAACTACCCAAATGAACATAAGTCAAATTAATAAATAGGTCAGCATATATTCTTAAAGTATAATACTATACACCAGTAAAAAAGAATGCAGTAACTGCAGCTACACACCATAATGTGAGTGAATTTCATAAGCATATTATTGAGCAGAAGCCAGAAACAATGTGTGAATCAATTATGTAAAGTTCAAGAACAGGCAAAAGCACTTTATGGTGATGAAAGTCTGGATGGCATGTTATCCTGAGAGCAGGATATAGTCACTGGAGGGGATGATTTTGGGGGCTGGTAACATTTCTTGAATTGGATGGTTGTGTTCATTATGAAAATTCTTTGAACTCTACATTTATGTTTTATACACTTTTTCTTTCATGAAAAGTTTATAAAACAAAAAGAGTACATCAGAGGTAATAACCGTGTCCATATTTTTATCAGATTAGGAAGAATGTAATGTTTGTTTTCTTTTTCTCTTTTAATCATCTTGTCTGAAAGGACTCTTTTCCCCTTTAAGTGCCACTTATCATTTCTCTCTTGGCTTCTTTGCTTCCTGGTACATTTTTTCATTTTTTTTTTTATCTTCTCTTTCCTCTTCTTCTATAAACAAGTGTTCTGGTAACTTAGAGTGTAAGAGGGATCAGAGGAAGGACTTTTAGAAAGGGCAAGGCATTTCAATATCATTCATGTTCATTTTGGTCCTAAAAGAGATGGTAACGTGGATGTGGTCTGTGACAAGACCACCTGTAACAAGAGCGTCAGTGACAGACTGAGTTCATTTGTTCATCCAACAGTCATTAAGCATCTTCCCTGAGTCAGTCCCTTGCCAGGCTCCCGGGAGATCCAGATTAATAAAACAAGGCAAAGTAGAGAGAGCAGCATGAACGGGGATAGTGAGCTGAATAGAGGATGTGGAGAACTGCAAGTAGTTCATTGCTGGAATAGGTTTATAATCACTAAGGAAGGCAAGACATTTGAAAGGAATGTAAAGTAGCATTTACAAAAGGTCACATAAATAAGTGCAGAATAAACAAAGTGCTAATTGAATACATGTGTGCTGAAGAGACCCAGGGTAAGAACAATCAGGGTGTGTTTGTTAGGGGAAATCAATGAGTTAGGTATTGAAGGAAATAAAAGTCTGAATTAGAACGTTAAGTTTGAAGACATTAAAATGTGGCAGATTATTCTGTAAAAAGGCATGGAGTTTGTCTTAGGTTGGGCTGCTACAACAGAATACTACAGGCTGAATGATTTAAACAACACATTTATTTCTCACAGTTCTGGAGGCTGGGAATTCCAAGATCAAGGTGCCAACAGGTTCGGTGTCTGGTGAGGGCCCTGTTCCTAGCTTGCAGACAACCACCTTCTTGACTTGTCCTCACATGACAGAGAGAGAGATGTGTGTGTCTCTTTTTTTATAAGGGTACTAATCCCATCATGAGTGATCATAGTCACACGACCTCTTTGTGTTTATTCAGAGAGAACTCTGGTTCTCTCTTCCTCTGGTTCTCTGGTTCCTTCTTCCTTTTCTTATAAGGACATTAATCCCATCAAAGGTGGAGCATCCACCCTCATGACCTTATTTATTTGCCAAAGGCCCTCCTAATAGCATCACATTGGGGTTTAGGGCTTTAAGCTATGAATTTGGTTGGGGGGTAGACACAAACATTCAGTCCATGACAGAAATGGAAGGAAGTAAAGGAAATTCTGACTTTAGGGTCAATAAAAGTAAAATGTATTGAGGTTTTTGGTCAAAGGATAAAAGAAGGAAGGACTTGTTATGGGACACCCTTAGAAGCCAAGTTCTAACATAAATTTACTTTCATAGCTGCTACAGAATCAGTCTGTATCTCATCCTATAGGCGGTGGGAGCAAAGAAAAGGAGGCCCAAACTCAGCCGGCAGACCTCAAGGGGGCGCTTGCTCAGGGGACGTCAGAGAGGTTTGGGGAAGCCGCTCTCCAGAGCCCTGAGCTTGGAAGAACCTGTGAGCAGGAATCCAGTATCTCTGTGGGAAATGTGCCAGGGCCGCCTCCTCCCCAGCGTGGCATCCTACCCCTGCCCGATGACCTCACGACCCATGGCTCCTTCTGGAAGCCTTTTCAGTGCCCTGAGTGTGGAAAAGGCTTCAGTCGGAGCTCAAATCTCGTCAGACACCAGCGAACCCATGAAGAGGAGAAGTCCTATGGCTGCGTTGAGTGTGGGAAAGGGTTTACTCTGAGAGAGTACCTCATGAAGCACCAGAGAACCCACCTGGGAAAGAGACCCTACGTGTGCATTGAGTGCTGGAAAACCTTCAGTCAGAGGCACCACCTCGAAGTCCACCAGCGGAGTCACACAGGGGAGAAGCCCTACAAGTGTGGAGACTGCTGGAAAAGCTTCAGCCGGAGGCAGCATCTCCAGGTGCATCGGAGAACTCACACGGGGGAAAAGCCCTACACCTGTGAGTGCGGCAAGAGCTTAAAGGAATGCTAACCTGGCTGTGCACCGGCGGGCCCACACTGGGGAGAAGCCCTATGGGTGCCAGGTGTGTGGGAAGCGGTTTAGTAAAGGGGAGCGGCTGGTCAGACACCAGAGGATCCACACTGGGGAGAAGCCTTACCACTGCCCTGCCTGTGGGAGGAGCTTCAACCAGAGGTCCATCCTCAACCGGCACCAGAAAACTCAGCATCGCCAGGAGATCCAAATGCAGTAAGGGTGCTCTGCGGAAATGCATCTTTTTTGCTAATGGAAGGTGCTGGAGAAGGTGGAACCTTCCAAGTAGAGGGAGACCTCACTGGAGAATGTCATTCATCTTTACTCACTGAAGGGCTTTGGGCGCTGAGAGGTGATGGGGTGCAGAAAGGCCCTTGGACCCATTTTCTTCTTGTTCAAAGGGAAAAGGGTGAGGCCTGATTTATTTTGAGTCCCCAGCTTCTCAGGCAAGTGGTGCTAACAGTTTTTCTTAGCATCTTCTGGGGAAACAATATTCTGAGTTTCAATTCAGGTTGAGGTTTTTCTCTTTCGGTGGAATATTCATATCCACCTCCTGAGCAACTCCGGTGGTAGTCAAGGCAAAATTTCGTCCAGTGTTGGCAGCTTGAATTTAATTTTTCTGAGGTCTGTATCCTGCCTGCAAAGATAGATTCTCCCTCCCCACCCCACTCTCTTTTCCATTTAACAAATATTTATGAAATATCTGCTATACACCTGGCACTGGGAATACAGTGGTTAACTAGACAAATGAGACCTTGTTCTCCCAGAGCTTGTGATTTAGCATTGGAAGCACACATGAAAACACTAATTCTCGTGTTCTGAGTTACATTTGTGATGAGTGTTGTGTGGGAGGGTACTTTTCTCATGCTCACTCATTCTGCCCTGCCTGCTTGGGTGCTGGATCTTTCCCTCCCTGATTGGGATCACTCAGGCAGCCTCGTTTATTTTACTTTATTTGTAGTCCCCTTTGTAACATTCTGCCCTCATCTGTAAAGTTGCCTCATTCCATTCCTTATACTGTAACAGCTGTCTACACATGTATTAGGAAATAAGTATTTTGTTATTGATCAACTGAATAAACAGAGTATTTTAAAAACCATTCAGTTCTGTATAAAGATCTAATTAGATGAGTCTGAAAGATGAACTAGTATTAATACTCTGTATTTGATGTCACTTTATAGTATATAAAATGTTTTTCTCTGTATCCTTACTTGATTCATTCCACACATATTTATTGACACTCAGCAGTGTGCCAGGAATTCTTCTAGGTGATCATATATCAGTGAACAAAATGAGAAAATCCATGACTTGATGGATTTCAGTGAATGTATTTGATCTTCAGAATCACCCAAGGTGGAACCCGTGGATGCTCTCATGAGCCCTCTGGACCTGGGATCTGAGCCTGTGCCTTGGTCCTGTCAGCTTCTTGCCCTTAAATGTGTTTGCCACCTACTTCTTATTAATCTCTGTCCTTAATGCATCTAGATTGTTGTCATCTGAGGTGCTTGGGGTCCTGAATGCCAGCTGGAGATGAGATGGTAGCAGTCTGTTTTGCATGAGTGCCAATTTAGGAAAAATAAAGATGTTTATAGGCATTTAAATAATACATTTCTTTAAAAATGAGAAGATGGCAGTATTTGCAGCTGTGTTTAAGCTTTCTTATATTATTTTGCCATCACTAAAGGATTTCTCTTTGAAATTCTGGAGACCGTAACTCACATGGACTACACTGCGGTATTGTAAATGCTGTGCCTCTGAACACTGGCTGCTGAGTAAGTCTTGACAGTGTACTGTAAGTTAGTCTTTTGACTGTACTATAATTGCAAGATGTATTTGTCACATGACGCCTCTTAATATTTTTTTACTGGGACTCCTCCCACCCCCCCACCCCCCCATTTCCTATTGTAAATAAGAAATTGTAATGATTTTAACTCAAAGATTTGCATTACTCAGTTTACTTTGGAACACGTCATTTTATCAGTCATTTATTGGTAGATAGCCATGGCGTTTAACTTCAGTTTAGCAAATGCCCTACTGGCCCCTCAGCTGTCTTCATGAGGCTGCACTACTCAGAATGTATCTTGAAACGTCCGCTGTCTGAGGTGCTGGGCTGCTGCTACTTCTCAGCAACAGCGAGGTCCAGTGCAAAATCAGCTCTTTTTTCCCTACTTCCCATACAAGCCAGGCAAAGGTTATGGCCACCTGGCAGCCAGGCTCAGTAGAAGGCTTTTCCTAATCCTCTGGCTTCTGGTCTGTAGGACCTGGGGGCTAACTGACTTTAGCTGAGCCTTCTCTAAGAGGTCCATATTCCAAAGCTGGGCAGGAGCATGGGGCCATCATGAACTGGGAGTTACTTATCAATGGTCTTTCTGTTTACCTGAACTAAATTGTAGATTCTTTTTGATCATATGCTTAGCCAAACAGGACTCTTGAGTTTTCAGCCGGTTGGAATCTCTTGAGAGAAGCTTCAGTAGGAGTTGGGCCTTGCTGTTTTTCCCGTGGGTGGCTTCCCTGTCTGCTTTCAGACCAAAGCTTATGGATATTTCAGAAATGTCTCAAAAGAGAATTTTTCCATGTAATTGTAGTAGCCTTATTTTTTAATATATATTCGTGTTAAATATTTTTTATATTCTATTTAGAGATTTTTTTATAATAGAAAATTGCAAACATGTATATAAATGAACCTTCATGTATTCATTATTCAACTTTACTATTATAAACTCATAGCCAGTCTTTATCTCTAACCCATCCTCCCCATATTTCTCCCTCACTGAAATATTTTGAAGCAAATCCCAAATGTTTATAAATATTTCATTGTGTACCTCTAAAGGGTAAGGACTCTAAAAAAAAATTATAATACTGCTATACCTAAAAAAACTAACAATTCTTTAATTCTCAATGTTTTAAAAAATCCACATACTTTTTTAGAAACTTCTTTAAGATCCAAATAAGATTCATAAATTGTAATTTGTTGCTTTGTCTTTTAAGTCAAATTATAGTTCTTATTCTTTTTTTTCCCCCTTGAAATTCATTCATTGAAACAACTGGGTTATTTATCCTGTAGAGTTTCTTACATTTTGAATTTTGTTGTTTATACACCCATGGCATTATTTAACATAGTTCTCTGCCCTCTATATTAACTTACAGATCTAGAGGTGTAATCATTCATATTTCACTTTGTGGCAAGAACATATAGATGGTGGTGTGTCTGGTGGTTTCTCTTTACATAATGTTAGGATCAATTTCATTCTATAAATGATTTTTCATTTATTAGCTGGAATGCTATAAGAAATTTCCCATCATTAACTATTAGGTTCCTCTAAGATATGGCTCATAGAGGAAAGGAAATGCTTAATTCTTTTTTCCTCTTATTAACCTGTTTTCACAATAACGATCTGGTTTCTTTGCTTCCCGTAAAAATGATCAATTGCTTTTTAAAAAATCAAAATGTATTCATGGATTTAAACCAATCCACTGCGATTATTCTTTCTGACGCTCAAATAACTTCACCTTTGGCCTGTGGGAACCTCTTCAACTAGGCTCCTGATTCCTTTTGACAACTTTAATCATCTTTGATAGCTTCTTTGAAGCTTTGTGGTGGGACAAGGCATTACAAGGTCCTCCTGTACATCACCTGCCCTTTTGAGAGTGAAGGGAAGTGCTATTTATGTCAGGACAATAGTGTAAACTGGGACGTTAGGGCAGACACAATTTGGTCACCTTACAGCCCTCATTGTAATGATCAGGTGCCTGCAGTTGCCTCACACCGAGTAATGCTGTGCACTTGCAGGGCCTGGCTCCATGTACCATGCTGCTGTGATGATGAGGAGGAGTGTCAACTCTGGGGATATGATCTTTGTAAGAGAAACCTCTTTTTATCCCCTGGGTGGTGACAGAACAAGGTAACTTTCTGCTCAAGCTCTGTCCTGGGGAGCAATTGCATTAAAATTTATTTTTTCTCAAAATGTATGTCATGAATATTGTCTGTGGGCTGATTAATTATGCTTAAATACTTTAAGTACCTGTTTTATCCCAGCTTAGGGGCAAGTAGAACCTTCGTTTTTTAAAAAAACAGGCTTGTTTCAAGTCCCATCCCTCTCTACCTTGTGATACAAGTTGACTTACTCTGCTTCTGAGGCAGGAGCAGTAACTTGCAGACTATGTTTCTCGCATCTATTTGCTCTTTTAAACTCAACTTCGGCACTATTGACATTCTGTGCCCGATAATTCTTTGTTTTGGAGGCAGTCCTGGCCATTTTGTGCTTTGTAGGATGTTTTAGCAGCATCCCTGGCGTCAACCTACTAGATGCCAGTAGCATCCCCCAACTGTTACAACTAAAGGGGTTTGCAGACATTGCAAAATACCGCATGGAGGGCAAAATTGACCCAGCTGAGAATTACACTCTCAACACTTAGGATAATAGCTAAAGTGAATTAGATGGTTTACCTCTTGAAAGAAAGGACTGGCATACCAAGGACGAGCATTTTCCTGCTAAGCTTAAAGCCCCAGCCCAACTTTCTAGAAAACAATTTTATTAGGGATCACTTGGTTTAAATTTAGTATTGCTGAGCAGAGCCAAGAGCTCTTGAAGTAGAAGCTCAGGATAGGGGTCTGGAAATCTATAATAAACACCCCACGTGATTCCTGTGCAGGCAACCTGGATTGTGGCTTTGGGTTTCTTTCAGGTGAGCAGCTGCCGTGAAGCCTCTGTATCACAAAGAACTCTTGCTTGGTGCCTAGATTTACCTTCCCCAGTAAACACATGTGTGTAGCGGGGACAACTTAAGCTCAGTGAAGCCAGTTTCAGTCTTTTTTCTTCCATAATAAGGTCTTCAAGGTACACAGTAGACAGTAAATAATTGAATGAAAGGCCTGGATTTCTACCATGTTAGCTAGAAGGCTCTCAATGCAGGTGCCTTAGTAGGAAGGAACACTGGAACAGGTTGCCCCCTAGTGGTTTCCCAAACTGCAGCCATCTCTGATAGTGCCACTAATTGCAGTTAAATTGAATTCACTTAGAAATTCTACAAGCCAAAGAAATTCATTTGGGCTTCCTACAAGTTTGTACTCCTATCTTGCCTTTTTTTCTTTATTATCTCAGTGAAGGACATACTTCTAGAGATTCATTGTGTTCAACCCATCCCCAGTATTGACATCAATAAAATTTCACTAAAAACTTGTCATGAAGACAAGTAAAAGGGCTGCCATCACTGCCACGTGTACTAGTCACAGCTTCATCATCTAAGTGGCCAGAAACCAGGAAATGGTAGCAAATCCAAGAGCTCATTTCATGTTTTCCCTTCCCAGTAAAAACTTCAGTCTCTTGAGAGGTGGTAGATTAGCTTTTAGATAGAGATTGGGAGAAAAAAGAAGTCTGTTTGCCTTCTTGACTCCTACCTAGGAGCTGTTTGAGTATTATACTATGTGTCTGAAAAATTCACCTAGGGTATATATCATCCTAGAAATTTCATTGGCTCCCACAAAAGGGCACAACATGTCATATGAACAATGTAAGTAGAATGAATGATAAATAGTTTATTATTGAGAGCCAGTCTTCTCACTAGGTTTTTCCAGTCTCCATTTCTAAAGGCTCCTGCTGCCTGGACTAAGGTGCTGCTAATGGAAGGAATGGAAAATAAGTGTGAAAAAACTGACGGTTAAAACTGTGGTGCTAGCACATACATATTCCAATGGAACAGAATAAAAAGGTTCAGATAGACTTGGTTCTGTATAGAAATCTAGAATATAATAAAGGTAATATCTCAAGTCACCGGGAGAGATTGATTTTTTTAAAAAATGGTGTTGGGATAATTGGGTCACCATTTGGAAAAATATAAAAATAGGTCCACTTCTCACACCATTTTCAAGAATAAACTCCAAATGAATCGGGTATCTAAATGTGAAAAAATTATACAAGTACTAGAAGACAGTGTGGATGAATGCCTCTGAAACGCGGGTTCAGAGAAAGACTTTCAAACTGACTCAAAATCAAGCTACAATTAAAGATTGATGAATACTTACATAAAAAATTTTAAAAACTTACAAAAAAATTAGCAAAGCCAAATGACAGATTGGGAGAAAATATTTGCAACATAAAACAAGGGTCTAATATTCCTAATATTCCAAAAACTATTTTGAAAAATGAGCCAAGATAACAGACCCCAAATTTCATAGAAAAATAGACAAATGAATTCACAAGATAT